AAAAAAAAAAAAAAAAGCCTCTCTGGGCTCCACTGGCCAGCCCGGCGTCGGGAGTGGCATTTGGCCGCAGCCGCGGTGGCCACCGGCTCCGTGCCAACCCCCCGGCCAAGGGAGAGCGGTTCCCCCCAACCCCCAAACCCAGGCGGCACCCCGGAGTGGTTAAACTTAGCTCGGGGCTGCGAGTTCTGGGAACCCGCCGTGGTTGGGATCCGGCGATCCCGGGGGGGCAAAGGGCGCCGGGCAAAGGGGAGGGCAGAGCCCCCCCAAATCCTGCCGGGATCACTGCCCGCACCAGCCCTGAGGGGTCCCGGTTAATGAGGAACTGGATTTTAATTATAAATCTGGTGAATGAATAGAACAACCTGGGAGGGGGTTTAGGAGGGACCTGCGGGATTTGGGGGGTCCAGGGGAGTTTTGGGGTGCTCAGGGGGGTGTTAGAATTGCCCAGTGGGGCGTGTGAGGGGCTGCTTGTGTGTGGGATTTGCACGAGAACACGCATTTGTGCAAGCACGGGAACTCACTCATGAGCACCGAGGGGCTTCCACATGTGCACGGGAACATCTCCCTGTGCAAGGGGTAATGTGCACAAACACAGTGACTTTGGCACATGTCTGCACTGCACATTCTCACTGCATGGACGTGACAGTGACAGTCACACGTGCACAGTGACCTTCGCCCAAGCACGGTGACACCTACACGTGCAAAACACTGCACACRCATACCACGGGTGACATTTGGACATGGAAAGGGGAATTCGAGTACAGTGACATCTGCACATGCACTGAGCCATTTGCACAAGCAGARTGCCGTTTGCACATGCAAGGCACCACTCACAGGGACAGTGACATTTGCACACGCACAGTGATATTTGTACACCCAAAGCACCTTTTGCTGAGCTTTGGCAGCATTTGTGAATGACGAGTAACAGTGGTGCAGTGACATTTGCATGTGCAAGGCACCGTACACACTTGCATAGTGACTTTTGCACAAGCTCASTGACGCTTGCATGCTCCCAGCACCATTTAGACAGCCAGGGTCCCTCTCCCTGCTCAGCCCTCACCCCCCAGCACCCTTCGAGCTGAACAAGCCTTTTCCCTGGTACCCCACCTACTAATTACCCCCCTAATTACCTCACCCTAATGAAGGGGGCACGTCCCAGCGCGTCTCACCCCTTACATCCCACTTTGCTGCCTTTAACCCCCTTCCACAATCCTTCCCCCAGCCCTTCCCAAATCCCTCCTGGGCAGCAAATTGCCTTAACCCAAAGAATTTAAAAACAAAATAAATCACTGAGGAGACAACAAAACCCAAGTTTAGGGACAAATTAACCTGGTGAGTTAATTTTTTTTCCCATCTTCGTGTKGTTTCTGGCTCTCCACACATGTGATGAGTTGGGCATTGGGGTCAGTCCTCAGCCAAAGGACCGTGGAGGCATTTTGGGACCCAGCCCCATTGCATTTCGCTCAAAGAGGGGGTTTCAKCCGCTGAGGCTCCGGCTGCCATCCCAAATCCCGCGGTGGGTTTGGGACAGGGCAGGGAACGCTGCTAATTATAGGGAAGGAACCATGTATTTACAGAGGCAGCTCCCAGCACCAAACCACCGGCGGCTGCTTTTGCTCCGCTGAGTCTCTCTGTTCTCTCTCCTCTTTCCCGRGTGCTGCTGTCCACAAAAAAATGAAAAGGGGGGATAATTTAAAAATAAATCCCCCTCGGTGATTTGCAAGAGGCACTTTAGCAGAGGAGGAAGAGGAGGCCGAGGAAGGGCAGGAGCAGGGGGATGGCAGGGCGGGCGGCAGCGTTGCAGTGGCCTCGGTTGGAGCCGATGCAGGCGGCGTAAGCCATGGCGTGGGGGATGTAGTTCTGCTCGTGGACCCCGTGCAACAGGTGGGCCATGGGCCCGCGGGCAAACACGGCCACGTCCTCCCCGCCGTGGGTCTCCTGCCGCAGCGGCACAGCTGACTGCGCCTGGTAGTCGGCGTGTGCTGGGGGAAAACRGCACAAGTGAGAATCATTTAAAAATCCAGCTTCTTTTAGCCAGGCTGGGATGACTGAAAGGGGTTTTGGCCCAACATGRACTCACCAAAATCCACAGCAGAGACATTTTCTCGCTCACCCGCCACAATTTTATAGCCAGGGCCGTTGCCGTAGAGGATGGAGGTGAAGGGTTTGCGGTCCACATCACTCTGCATCGGGGCCAGACCTGGCGGTGTGGCACAGTCAGCAGGATGGACTCTCCCCMCAGTGTCCCCAGGGGGTCCCCAAGCTGTCCCCAACACCCTGGCCGGGCAGGGCTCACCGAAGATGGGGTTCCCGCGGGGGGTGTAGCCGCCGAAGGTGAAGACGTGCGAGTGGTCGGCGGTGACGACGCTGAGCGTGTCCTGGGTGGACGTGAGGCGTGTGGCCACCCCGATGGCCCTGTCCAGCTCCACCGCCTCGTGCAGCGCCTGCTTCGCCTTGCCCTCGTGGTGCCCGTGGTCGATGCGGCCGCCTGTGGAACCCGGCACCACTCATCGCCCGCCTCTTCCCAGCTCTACACCCCTCTTTATTGCTTTTTCTGCATCCCCCCACCACCCCATTTATCCCCACTTTTTACATCCCACACACCCCTTTTTTACATGACACATCCCCCCTTTTGCACCCCCATCAGCCCCTTTATCCCTTCTTGTATCCCCCTTCTTTTCATCCCTTTTAGCACTCTACCTTCACCCCTTTTATTACCCCCTTTTTGCACCCTAATTGCTCCTTTATCCCTTCTGTTTGCACCCCACATATCCCCTTTATCTACCATTTGTGCATTCCTCACCACTCCCTTATCCTCCCTCTGTCATCCCTCTTTTTTGAACTCCAATCTCCCCATTATCCTCCCTTTTTGTACCATCACCCTTAACCCCTCTGGTTTTGTTCTCCTATCATCCCCTTTACCATCTTTTTACATCTTCCTGTCCTCACTTCTTGCACCTCCCCTTTATCCAATTCCCCACTTTTTTGCACCATCTTTTGCACCCCATCACCTCTTTTTCCCCTCCTTTGGTACCCCCTTCATTCTCCTTTTGCACTCTTATCGAATCCCCCCCGTTTTTGTACCCCCATTGCCCCTTTTATCACCCTTTTTTGCACCTCCATGATCYGCCCCCCACCTTCAACCAGGAGGAAGAACCCCCGGGGATTTTTCTGGAGCATCCTGATGGCCACGGACACCATCTCGCTGAGGGATGGATCTGTCTCGTTGTTCCTGTCCAGCTCGTACACCATGTCCCCTGGCTCGAAGAGGCCTGGGGACAGGGACACTGCTGGGGACATCCTTTTCCCACCAAAATAAAAAGGGAAGGGGGRRGKGGGGGGGGGGGGCGGGCAAATCCTGGTCCTCGTGCTGACTCCAGTGTTTCACACATCACCGGATCCAGGAAGATTAGATAAGAAGCCGTGGGATAATCCCAACCCTTCCTTCCTCCTGCCCTGCTGGATTCCACATTCCAGATAGGACAGGAATTTCACTGCTGACCAAAGAACTGCATTCCAAGGAGCCAGATGTGTCCCAGGGTGGGAGTAGCAGCATCCTTGGGGGTGTAACAGCATCCTCGGTGGGCTGCACATCCTTGAGGGCACACCCAGGGAATTGCAGCATCTTTGGGAGGTGCCAGCATCCCTGTKGGGGGGCAGTAGCATCCCCAGGGAAGTAACAGGATCTTTTGGGGAGGTACCAGCAGCCCCAGGACGGGATACCACCATACCTTGGATGCAGCAGCACCCTTGGGAGCAAAACTGGCCACTGCAGCTGCCCCAGCACCCCAGGACAGGCCAGGGGTCCCCCTAAAACATCCAGCAGAGGCCAGGGCACCTTTGGGTGCAGGAACTCACCCAGCAGGAAGTCAACACGGCTGAGGTTGAGCGCCAGCAGCCCTCGCCGGTGCCACACGTACTCRGCAACCTGGGGACAGCAAACAGAGATTATCACCTCTCCATTGCCTCTGCCGTCCCCACAGCCACTCCTCAAAATATTCCATCCCCCAGGGATGGCTCCGTAGGGTTACAGTGGGGTGATGTGTGGGTACCACCACCTCACAAAGTCCTTGTCACCTTGCCAGGGGGCTTGGCCTCACGCCATGCCTGGACGAGGTTCCTGCGGTCCAGGCGGGTGCCCCGATGCTTCTCCTCATGGGGATATTCTACATCACTGACATTTTTGGGGTACATATATTTCCGCCCTCCACCCATGATCACCTGCAAAATAGGGGAGKAAATGTAATTTTAAATATTTTTAAATTATTTTTAATTTCTTCCCCCTCCCCCAGGTCAGTGTTTAAAGGGGGAAGATCCTGAAGGGGTGGAGCAGGATGCCCAGGAAAGCCCTGGTGTTGTGGGCAAAAACACCCGAGGAATTTCACCTTGCTTAAAATAACCCTGAATCTCTTCCTATTAATTAAAACCCAGGACAAAAATAATCATTTCCAGCAGGGATTTGGCTTTTTGAGTACTTTTTTTCCCCCATCTGTGGGAAGGATGCTCCACATCGGGATCCCCACATGAACCCGCCGGGATGGAGCCCCATCCTGCGGCTCTCCCTGTTTGCTTTGGAGCCTGATTTATTTGGCCTCTGTTATTTATAACCTAGCAGAGATTTTATGGTTTTTTTTGTATTTCCCCCCTTTCTCTGCATAGAAGGTGAATTATAAAGCTGCAAAACACCAACGCCAAAATTATTAACAAAAAAAAAGAGGGGAAAAAAAAGACTTTTCCCCACTATATAATTATTTCCAGCTTGGGACGGAGTTAAAATTATATTAAAGGGRAAAAAACAGCAAAAGAGGCTATTAAAGAGCTAAATAACAGGCTCCGATGTTTTGCTTTGGGGCTATTTTGAAGGACAGAAGAAGATTTATTTACAGGGCTGAATTTCTGCATAAATCCACAGCAAGGAGCAGAACTGCAGGGGAAAAGGAAGAATTTTGGGTCTGAGAAGTATGGGAAGGGAGGGGGCTGCTGTGTAGGAGTGGGTTAAGAGGGATTTGTATGYCTAGGACTTGGTCTTACAGGTCCCAGACCTATGTTTGAGGGTCATGGTCCCATGTCCACCTGAAAGTGCTGGTAGCCCACCCATGGTGGTCCTGGTCCTATAACTGGTGAGGGTCCCAATGCTGTACCCATGGGCGGTCCTGATGCATCTGCTGGGGCCTCTGACTCTGCACCATTGGGTGGTCCTGGCTCTGCACCCAAGGCAGGTCCTGGTCCCACATCTGTTGGGGATCCTGGACCCGCACCCATGGGTGGTCCCAATCCACCATCTCATAGAGGTCCCAACTCCATACCCATTGGTTGTCCTGTCCCCAGATCTACCCACGATCCCGGTCCTGCACCCACGGGTGGTCTCAGCCTCACATTTGTGGGGTGGTCCTTTCCTTGTACTCACTCGCACTCCTGGCCCTGCATGCCTTGGTGGTTCCAGCCCAACATCTCCTGGGACTTGTGGCTCTTCTACCATTGGTGGTCCTGGTCCCACATCTACCCACGGCCCTGTCCCTATCCTTGGGTGGCTCCARCCTCCAGCCTGGGCAGTCCTGGTCTCATCTCCACTGACTCAGGGCACATTCCTGGTGTCCCCATCCCTACCTCGATGTGGGGGATGTTCTCAACCAGCTGCCGGGCGATGTCTTTGCATCCACCCTCCAGGGCATCCGGGGGCATCTCCCCATCTGAGTACCAGTCACGGTTGGCAGAGTGGGCGTAGGCAGCGCTGGGTGTGGCGTGGGTCACGCGCGTGGTGGTGACGATGCCCACGGCYTTGCCTGCGCCACCAATTCAGGGGACAATGGTGAGAACCCCCCCAAAACCCCCGCTTGACCTCCCATCCAGGGGTCCCCCAGCCCTTCACCTGCATCCTTGGCCCAGCGGAGGATGGAGGTCACCTCCTGGCCCTTGGTGGTGTTGCAGCGGTCCCGGGTGACRCCGGCGCTGACCCCCAGGGTGCCCTCGTTGGCTTTGACACCGCAGAGGTAGGCAGTGGCTGTGCCCGCGCTGTCGGGCACCTGGGCATTGGTGTTGTAGGTCTGGAAGATGGGAGACAGATAAACCACCACAGTTATCACCGCCATGGTTGTCATCACCGCAACTGTCACCACTGTGGTCACTGCCACCATTGCTGTCACCACACCACCATCATTCCCACTCTGGGGCTTCCCCCCTTGTGCTGTTTGACTGCCCCAGACCCCATCCCTCTGTCCCACTCTTTTGCCCTTTGTCCCCCATTGTACCCCCTACCCCCCCCCCCAACGTGGTGGCACATCATCCCTTCACTGCATTTTGATGCTTTCAGCCTTTTCCCAGTCTATCTTTTGGCAGGGAGAGAGAAGTCAGTGCCACGGGCATCCCCACGGGGTGAACAGAGACGGCTGCTGACTTYCAATGTAGTTATTATTTCCAAGTGTTTTGTTCAGCAAAAGGACCCCAGGCAGAGCAGGGGGGTCCCGTGGCGACCCGCAGCCGCGGGCTCCTGGCGCTCCGCCTCCCGTTCCCACGGCCGGCCCCTGGCACGGCCAGCAGCCACCGCAGCCAGCTCCCTTCGCCCGCCCCTGACCTAATTTCGGCTCGGTCGATGCCACCCGCCCGTGACCTTGCGGGGGGTGTCGCCTCCCCCTGGGCGCCCCGCGGGGATCACCTTGGCCAGGGCCACGAAGGGGAACTTGTCCATCTCCAGCAGGCTTTCCTCACCYTGCCCGCGCTGCATCTGCCCTTTGAGGATGCGGGCGGCCGTGACCGTGGAGACGCCCATTCCTGCGGGACAGCGTCAGGCGGCACCGGACAAACCCCGCGCAGCCCAGGTTACCGCAGACCCA